GTGTGTTCCACTGTGAAAGGGAAGACAGGGTGAGACTGCATACAGATTAATTTGCACACAGTTACTAGCTGTTGTTTGCCTAGCTGTCACTTGAAAAGCACCAAGAATGGGAGTAAAGTATTAAAACTAGATGCACCAAATGGGTTTAACAGCACTATTGCCCACTTAGCAATGTAATCCTGTTGATTTTAGCTTTTGAACTAACCAAGTGTTGAAAGGGAAGATACTCTTCCCCACCTAACGCAGCAACTTTTTGCAGCACTTCTGCTGATGCTACTGCAGTTCCCTGACAATTCTAAACAAACCACAAAAATACATGAAAATATAATAGATAGGAAGTAAATGGAGGGTAAGAGGATTCCCCTTGCAAGTAACTGCTCTGAAGAGCAGAAAGAGTTAGTATCTCTCCTTTTTGAAGAAGCTACAGATTTGAGGAGTGTTGAACAGGTGGAAGGCACTGGGACCTGTCAGTTTGCCACTCGTAACTGAAGGGCTTAAAAGGTGGTGGTGGGGGGGGGGGGGATATCTAGGTGCAACTTCTTTCATTACTTCTTTGCTCTTTACTGATATTGTCAATTGACAATTAGGCATTTGGTCCCTGGCAACTGTGCACAAATTAGCCTACATGCAGTTCCATCCTGTATTAGGGAGCAGTAACTGTGCACTTTAGTGCACCTGCAAAGAAGTGTTAATAACAAGCAAGATGATGTGCAGTTTTCAGGGACAGGAATAAGTAAGACATGCTTGTACTGAAAACCAAAATAAAAGAGCAGAGGAATAAATGATGGCCCATCCAAAGTGCTGTTTCAGCATCAGTGGAAAGGTGGTAACCAATGAAGTTGTGAAGGCAAGAAGCAGGGCTTTTTGCCACCATTGCCAAGCAGCTCGGTAGCCATTCCCAACAACAGATAATAGATGATGATGACAAAACAATCCATCATGGATGAAACAACCCTTACAAGACTGATGGTGAACCTTTTAGAGACCAAGTGCCCAAACTGCAACCCAAAACCCACTTATTTATCGCAAAGTGCCAAAATTGCAATAAAACTTGAAAACTGCAGTTTTAGTTTAGAAAAAACACCTCATAGCCAGTCCAAGCATAAACACAAACACACACACACACACCCTTGGCAGGGCATTGACTGGCCATGTGAAAGCTCGGATGAGTCGGATGAGTCACAGGTTGTGATAGCATTGCCTGGCACTGCTACTCCTTTACGAGCATGCGCATGGCCCCTGATGCTCGGCTGGTGAGGCGATACTGGAGTGAATTGGCTCGCATGCCGACAGAGGGGGCTCTACGTAACCGCTATGGTATGTGTGCCATATGTTCGCCACCACTGGCCTAACCCTAACCTGGTCCACACCCCAGGGCTAAAGTTCCATTGAATATAGCACATTTTGAAAAAGCCTTTCTTGAGTAGCTTTTTCTGCACAGTTCAACATTTCTGCCCATTCTAAACACATTCGAAACGATGAATATCATACCAGAAGAGCTCATTTTTCCAACCCTAACCCTACCCTTGTACACTCCCCTAACCCTACTATACGGTGAAAGTTCCATTGAAAATAGGGCGATTTTGAAAAAATCTTGAGTTGCTTTTTCCATAAAGCTCAATATTTCTCCCCATTCTAAACACAATCCAACCCTCAAATTCATGCCAGAACACCTCGTTTTTCTATCCCTAAACCTACCCTGCTGCACTCCACTAACCCTAATATAGGGCGAAAGTTCCACTGAAACTAGGGCGATTTTGAAAAAGCCTTACCTGAGTTGCTTATTCTGCAAAGTTCCTCATTTCTACCCATTCTAAACACATTCCAACCGTCAGAATCAAGCCAGGAAAGCTCGTTTTTCCAACCCTAACCCTACCCTTGTACACTCCCCTAACCCTACTATACAGTGAAAGTCCCATTGAAAATAGGGCAATTATGAAAAATCCTTCCTTGAGCAGCTTTTTCCACACAGCTCAGCATTTCTGCCCACTCTAAACACATTCCAACCGTAAAAATCATGCCAGGAACCCTCGTTTTTTAAACCCTAACCCTGCCCTGGTGCACTCCCCTAACCCTAATATAGGGCGAAATTTCCAGTGAAAATATGTCGATTTTGAAAAAGCCTTCCTTGAGTTACTTTTTCTGCACAGCTCAACATTTTAGCCTATTCTAAACACATTCCAACTGTCAAAATCATGTCAGTACACCTCCTTTTTGTAACCCTAACCCTACCCTGGTGCACTCCCCCAACCCTAATATAGGGCAAAAGTTCCATAGAAAAGAGGGAGATTTTGAAAAAAGCCTTCCTTGAGTTGCTTTTTCCGCACAGCTCAACATTACTCCCCATTCTAAACACATTGCAACTGTCAAAATCATGCCAGGACAGCTGGTTTTCCTAACCCTCATCCTACCCTCGTACATTCCCCTAACTCTAATACTGGGCGAAAGTACCATTGAAAAGAGGGTGATTTGGAAAAAGGCTTCCTTGAGTTGCTTATTCTGCACTGCTCCTTATTTCTGCCCATTCTAAACACATTCCTACCATCAAAATCATGCCAGGACAGATCGTTTTTCTAAACCAACCCTGCCCTGCTACACTCCCCTAACCCAAAAATAGGGTGAAAGTTTCATTGAAAATAGCGCGATTTTGAAAAAGCCTTCCTTGAGTTGCTTTTTCCGCACAGCTCAACACTTCTGCCCACTCTAAACACATTGCAACCATCAAAATCATGCCAGGACAGATCGTTTTCCTAATCTGAACGCTACCCTTGTACACTCCCCTAACTCTAATACAGGGAGAAAGTACCATTGTGTGATGTCTTGCCAGCCCAGTATGTAAACAATCCACGCATTCACCAGCAATGAAACTAAAGTCCTTTAATGCTAATTGTCTACAAGATTTACAACTCTATAGATAAGCTCTCTAATAGCGGTCTTTGCTATACAGTTGTTAACCCCCTAATGGCTTCTCTTCCCAAGCCCACGTGGGATCATTCTCCCAAGTCACGCCTTTCTTCTCTCCTACGTAATAGATCTTGCAGTTGTTAATATCGAGGTAAAATCCTCCTGTTCTCAGCTTTTGAAAAATCTACAAGGCCTACTGTGTCTTCTGTTTCTGACTCAGGGGAATCAGCATGTGGGGGGGTGGGGAGAGGCAGCTTGCTCTGCCTCTTTCTGAATAGAACACTCAGCTTCCTCTTTCTCATGACTACCTGGTTCTAATAAAAGACCAGGCGTTTGCTCAACGTGCTGGGAGTCAGAGGAAGACGCAGCAGCTGGCTCTGCTGTCCCTATGCTGAGTTGTGGGGTTGATTCTTGGACTCTGGTCGTCAAGTGCAAGTCCTCCTCATGAGACACTGCTTCTGTCAGAGCTTCATGCACGACACATTGAAAAGAGGGCTATTTTGAAAAAGGCTTCCTTGAGCTGCTTTTTCCGCACAGCTCAACATTTCTGTCCTTTCTAAACACATTCCAACCATCAAAATCATGTCAGGAACCCTCGTTTTTCAAACCCTACCCCTACCCCTACCCTGGTACACTCCCCTATCCCTAATATAGGGCGAAAGTTCCAGTGAAAATAGGGCGATTTGGAAAAAGCCTGCCTTGAGTTGCTTATTCTGCACTGCTCCTCATTTCTGCCCATTCTAAACACATTGCAACTGTCAAAATCATGCCAGGACAGATCGTCTTTCTAAACCAACCCTGCCCTGGTACACTCCCCTAACCCTAATATAGGGTGAAAGCTTCATTGAAAATAGCGCGATTTTGAAAAAGACTTCCTTGAGTTGCTTTTTCCGCACAGCTCAACATTTCCACCCATTCTAAACACATTTCCACCATCAAAATCATGCCAGGACATCTCGTTTTTCTAAACCTAATCCTGGCCCGGTACACTCCCCTAACCCTAATATAGGGCAAAAGTTCCATTGAAAATAGGACTATTTTGAAAAAGACCTGAGTTGTTTTTTCCGCACAGCTCAACATTTCTGCCGATTCTAAACACATTGCAACTGTCAAAATCATGCCAGGACACCTCGATCTCTTCTCTCCTTCAATGTGAAGACCATCTTATTCTTTCATGGAAAGAAAATTTAATTTTCCTGCACTAAACTAAGAAAACATGTTAGTCTGAAACCACGTTGCCCTTCTACCAAATACTGTTAGAGTTCAAAAACACATGCATCAGATTTTGTGGGACTTCTTAGTAAAAAATTTTCTTTGGTGTTCACATTTTACTAGCTTTTCAGAAGTGCACATTAGTGGTCATCCCTCCTTGATCTCAATACGTTAAATAATACAAATATGTTCAGAAGTGGTCTATTTACCTAGTTGCACCAACACTGAAAATAACACACACAATGTAGCAGATTTCCAAATCATAAGTTACCATCAGTTGATAATGAGGAGTTGATTTATTTCCCTAAAGTTTGCAACTGTGGACAGCTACCTTGTGAGCATAGCAATTCTAATGGATTCCAAATCACTGGATTGGATCTAGATTTAGGAACAAGCAACTGGGCGGGTAGAAGCAGACTTCTCCATCCTTTTCTTCCCATGGCAGGCTGTTCATTGCACCCACCTTAGCCCCAATGCTACATGGAGACTCAAAGGACATTACTGAATGGACTATGGTGAGGGAGAAGAGAAGGATGATTAACTCGAAGTCCTGCACTGAGCAGGAGGTGTGACCTGATGGCCCTCTGGCCCCTTCCAACGGTACTATTCTATAAGATACCCCTGTCCTTTCCCCTTCATCACCCCATTCAGCAAAATCTACCAAGCTTCTGTATAACATTTAGGGGCAGGGTGAAAACGCCACTAAGAGCAAATTGTGGCAGGAAACTCAGCCTAATTAAATGTGCCTAAATCTGGATCCAACTCCTATGGTGTTAGTCCAAGAATGTTGAAAACATTATGAACATTATAGTTCCTATGCCCTAGTAAATAAACCTAAGTATGTGAATCATTATATTAATATTCCTCTTTTCTTTCTCTTGCAGGGAACCAAGACATCTACCAAGGTTCCCCTCCTCTCTATTTTACCCTCACAACAACCCTGTGAGGTAAGTTAGACTAAAAGTCTGTGATTGGCCCAAGTCACCCAATGTGTTTCATGGCTAACTGGGGGCTAGAACTCAGATCTAGCCAAGATCTCTCAACCAATATACCGTGCCGAATAACAGAACAAATGGTATATTATTCCTGTTTTCCTCTAGCTTCACTTTCCTTCCCCATTGTTGTTAGTCTAGAATCTATTCAGGAACCTGTACTTTTTGTATTCTGTGAAACACCGTGCACTTTGATGGTTCCATTTAAATATAAAATAATTATTAGCATCAGTATCAGTGAGTTATTGTTAATCATTTTCACTTAAGTTTACCTTTATATCTGAGGTGTCACGTTGAGAATTTCGCCATGCCCTTGAAATTGAGGAGAACGTTCTGTCTGCATGATCAAACTTGCCCCCTTGCAAGTTTAGGAAAAACGTTGTAAAAGGTTCCTAAGATCATAAACAAAAGAGACCAAAACACTTGAAAAAGCAACAGGGTATTTTTCTATATTGAGCATTTTTTACAATTCCAAAGAAATCCCTAAGGTTAATTGGCAAGTTTTATTTCCAGGAAGAGTGGAAACAAACAAAATGTGATTTAAATGAAATGTCTATTCTGGTAAAATGACTAATTTTAAAGATAAAGTATCAAAGTTATCTTTCCATAATCCCTAGTGATGTGACTTATGTTTTAAAGCATCATATTTCAATACCTTCTTAATGAATTGTGCTATAGTTAGGAACAGATGTTATACAGTTGTAACAGTTGTAATTTAATGTCTTAACTCACTGATAACCAAAGGAAAGCTACTATAGCATTCAGTCATCACCAGTCCAATCTGTAATATGGCTGCTGGGAGAATTGCTGGAAAGCCATAGAAATTCTGTTGTTATTGTTGCCACTATTATTTTTATTAGATAATGTTACAATCCCATGTAACACTTGCACACAGTTAAATATCTGTACATTGCATGTTAAGCTGCATATAAGCCAGGATTCAGATGACCACTTTAGATGCATTCAAGGAACTTTCAGACTGCACTGAGATAGTCTGAATTACTTTGAACAGTTCATACTTTTGCATCATTCCTCACTGTGGAACAAAATCTGTGTTCAAAAAATACAGGTCCCTTGGATGTCATGAAGTGTGGGAAACGAGCTAGACCATGTGAGCCACTCAGAGGTGCTGTGGCACAAGTGGACAGTATACAAATGCTTTAAATAAATAAATAAGCAGAAGACCCTAAGTTCAATCTCTAAAAATCTCCACTTACGTGAGGACAAAAAAAAGCTTCCTGAAACTCTGGAGAGTCACTACTAGCAGTGTCAACAAGCTAGATGGACTAATGGTCTAATTCAGTATAATTCAGCATCCTATGCTTTTTGAATCCTAGATTTCATTCTAACTTAAGTTTCCATTTGAATAACATGCTAGAAATAAACAGACACACCTGATACAGCTAACAATTAAGAAAAGAAAAATGTTTGGATGATTGAAAAACCTTCTCCTAGTCAACAGACACTTAAGCAAATATTAGGAGATAATTGCCTGAAATTAGCTAAGTACCATAAATTACTTTGAGGATTTATGTCTGCATGTACCACTCTAACAAGTTTTAATTAATGATGTGCTGCTAACGCTTTCCCAAAGAAATTGGTTTCTATTAGATAAATCATCATTCCAGTTTATTTTACAGAAATATGGACTCTTTCATAAATATATTGTCTGGCCAATTAAAACATTATCTGTAAGCAAAGTACAACAGTATTTGGAAAAATATGTTACACTAATTTAGTTTTTATATTATATTTCAAGAGCTTACTTTAACTGCGGATGATGAACATTAAACCAGAGATAAGTGAACAGATTACATTCCATTTTTTTAAGTCATCAGGGAAAGTATAATTCTAAACAAACAAGCAAAGAATAGTGAGGCCTCCTTGAAAGCCATAATTTAAAGGTAAGTCTTCTTACTTAGTTTGTTCCATTAAAAAATCAAACCAGCAAAGGTCAAAATTTGGAAATAGTTTTATTTTTAATAATCAAGAGTAAGCTATTGATTCCATTGAATGTTGAAATACAATAATTCAATGACATCAGATGTTAAATCCATACGTAGTTTAAGAGTTTGTTATTTTCCTTACAAATAAAAAGTGAAACATTTTAATGATTGTACTTACAATTCTTAACAACCAAGTGAGTGTAAAACTTGCTGTTGAATAATGAGTGCCATAATGAAACTTTGGAACGTGATCATCTTCCCATGTTTCATAGCGTTCTGCAAAGAATGCACCTCTTTTTGGATTAAGAGCACCAATAGGCTAGAGAAGAGAAAAATGAATAGACTAAATATTGGCAGCAGCTATAATGATCTCATCCATTGAATTATTGGCCAGCATTAAATACAATGCATTGCATATCATTATTGCCATCATATATTAGATGGATTTGAATTCAGACATAAGAAAACATGTGAAGCAAATAAAGAGGAAGATAACTATTTGAAAGCCAGGTAAGATATACAATAATCCACTTTAACTGGAAGATGTTTCAAAGCACTCTTTATCACAAATTTTGCAAAAGGCAAGTCATTATTCTCATGACTGTTGCACACATACAACTTAACAGAGCTGGAACTCTTTACTATGGCAAGAAGCCACTTCATGTCAATACTGAAACCATACAAGGTGGCTTCAACCACATGAATGGGTTCAATCGCAGTGGTCATTGCCACAAAACTGTTGACCTATCACCTGCCAGGCAGTGCCCTGTGGGAACGAGCCTTGTGACTAACCTAAGCCATGAAGTTTCAGTATCCGCACATCTATTATATTGGTATGGAATACTGCAGCTAGAAAATAACTCCTATAGTTGCATATAGGAACGGGATTTCAATTGAAATTGTATTGGGTTTGACACCCTTCCTAGGATACCCTTCCTATTCCCAGGCCTAACTGAAAAGTGTTAGATATTTACACTGCTACCATCTAGGATCTGGTTACTTCAGAAGCTTCCTTTTCCAATATAAAGTGGCCTGAATTATAGGATCACTGTCAGATTGCCTTCTCACTGCCCTGCATGGTATCATATATATATATATGTGAGTACAACAGGGCCAGGTAATACCAAAACTGGGGAAGAGCCTCCTGAAAGAAATTCACTGGACCCTTGTTCTGTTTAAAAAAAAACTATTAAAGATACATTATTATTTTAATGTTTAATCATTCCACTATCTTAAGACACTTCTATGACTTAAATCTGTGGGGTTTGGGGGGAGATTATTACTGCTTTATATTTTATGATTGCTACTTTTAAGCTCATTTTAGTGGTGTGTGCATTATTTTCCTATTTGTAAACCATTTTAAATTGTTCCAAACTGCTTAGAATACTGTACTGAAAGATGGGGTAATTTTATTACATAAAAGGATTTGCTTTAAAAAGAAACACAAAAAAGAAGCAATCAAGAAAATAATGTTCTGAACACTGGGTTTCTTCATTTGCATAATTAGATGGCCCACTCACCTCACTCTTAGACAGCTAACCAGGGAATATCTTCACATTTTTTTATTCAATGTGCTCAGACAGAGTTCTCTTATCCCTTTTTCAAAAGCTAAATCAAGTTGAACCTCACTGTCCAGTTTTGAATCTGTTCAAATTGGACCAGGAGATCTCCCTTGGATATTAGTAATAACTGCATTGTTCAGAAATCAGCATTTTTATTGGCGCTTTCTCTGTAAGAATCAGAACTACGGATGTGAAATGGAAAAGACACGTGAAAAAAGGGAAGCCAGTTTAAGAAAAAGACAGATTTGCCATTAGGAGAAAAAAACAGTTCACCAAGAGGGTGGCAGGTGTCCTACTTTTGTACTCTTTTTAATGATGTATAAGTGGTCCTCCTCTGACCAAGTCTTGAATACATTAACTACTCATGGATGATTACTCTGATATTCATGCATTTAATTTAAGAACTGCAAACCAAAGCAACCCATGAAATGTCAGTGTTTTTGACATATGAACCACTCTACCTTAGGATCTAGGTGGGAGGAGTAGATGAAATGCATGCCCTCTAAATGTTTATTAAGTATTTATTTTAATACTGAATTATCAATTTCACAGAGAGCAGTCATCACTACAACAATTCACTCTTGTTGCCATCAGTACAAGTTACTTTGAGTGAGTGAAGAAAACCATTTATTAAGTAGTAGTAACACAGTGTTCGTCCAGGCACTTGACAATCAATCCATCAAGAAATGGAGCAGCTTTTAGAAGGAACTATACTTAGTAGCAGAGCACAGGCTTTGCAAACAAAGTGCCCCATGTTCAATCCCCAGAATCTCCAGGTGGAGCTAGGAAAGAGCTTTGTTTCAGACGCTGAAGAGATGCTGCCAGACAGTGTCAACAATACTAGGCTAGTGGGACCAATGGTCTGATGTAGTATACGGCAGTTTCTTATATTTTTCTACCACACATCTGCACACAATGGCAAATATTGGCAAGCCCAAGATGAGTAGTTCTCACTTGGAAGGGCAATACAGATTATGGTATTACAAGGTAATGACATCCCCTGCCTCAGATCCCCTGCATCTTATTCACCCAGGGAATGCATTACTCAGTATTTTTAGTTTTATAATGTAAAGTAACAGGTTTTGTATTTTAGTATTTGATACATTATTATTATCACACAAAGAAGAGTTCTGAGATTATTTTAAACTAGTCAGGGTTAGATAGTGTTAATATATGCCATGATTATATAAAATAATCCAACATACAAGACAGCAAATGACAAATTTTGCTCAAGTTCTTGTCTATATGTTCATGCATTTCTTTACTTAGTGTGCATTTATTTATTGCTTTTATATTTTATATTCCATGCTTTTGAAAAAACTTATGACAGTTAATCTTTAAAAACAAAAATGAATAAAGCAATAAAGCATAAGAGCAATAGATTATAATAAACTTCAAATCAGAAGTAAACTTATCTCTCCTCCATTTGCTGACCAAAACAGAAAATAGCCCTCCTGGGGAAACAAACAAGTCCTGTCGAATTTCTCTTAGGAGAAGAAGTTCCATAGTGTCAGAGGGCAGTCTTTTCTCTGTCCCTCTCCTTCCAAGGAGATCAAGACCAGAGGAATCTAACTAAAGTTTTTATCATGTTAAAATGGGTGGGCTAGGTTGGTTTTGGGATACAAAAGGAGTACTGCAGAAATCATTAACAGAAAACACTAGCTATTAGGGAAATATGACTCATGGTACGAAACTGATTCCAGACTGAATCCCTTTCCTCCATTCCTAACCAAAAGGAGTTAACTCCAACCTTAGAATGCTTCCTGCTACTTGTGGACCAAAAGTTTTGATATGATGCCAAATGACAGGACTGGCCATGTTACATCCACCCCTGCCCCCCCCCCCCCCCCGCCTGTTCAAGAGTGTCTCCACCTGAACAAAAGGTGGTCTGTTTCTTACCAGCTGCTTGGCTTATCTCAGGCCTTGAAATTTCAGGTAACAATTCTGACCCCACTTCTTCTTCTAGTTCTGATTCAGATTCTGAGGTAACAATCTTGAAATGCTGAATTTTGGGAGAATGGAGTCTAGACCCCATACACCCTGAGAGTGCCACTGCTAAAACACCCACTTTCTTTGACCAGCCAACCTAATCTCACAAAATGTAATCACTCATCCGATGGGCAAAGATTTCAGGAAGGTTCCAGTTACAGGAAGTATTACTCAAAATACTCTGGACCTTAGCTATTTACAGGTTTAAAATTAAAAATCAGCACTTTCAGGTTGTGCCCAGAAACAGAAAACCAATGCATATCCTAATATACCAGTAATTCTATGGATTATATAAACTGAGACACATTGGCAGAATTGGCTTTGAGAAACTGAGGACTGAGCAAACAGAACTGAGGGGAAGAAACATTGCTTGATGATGGCTGCAACTCCTTTTCATACAGGTGAATCAAGCCAGGTGAATTCAAGTTAATTTAGGCCCAATGATGGTGCCTCTTTAAGAAATACTGATAAGTCTGTATGTGGAATAATTTAAGAGTATCATACTATATTTAAAGGCATAGTATAAAAGCTACACAACTGGGGCGCATGTTCCATGAAATAATGTGCCATGTTGCAAAACATAAAGGTAAAGGTGCTATAATAGAAATAACATTTTAATTTTAGAAATTAAAACACTTCTGTATGGTTTTCTTTATAAGAGTAAAGCAAAGTAAATGTCATTACCTATCTGCTAATGTCTACCAAAAATGTACTGACAAGCAACTGGCATTAAACTCAAATATTCAATATTAATCCAAAATCTGGGACATATTTTTCATTGAGAATTAATGCACCAGAGATTAGCAATACTGAGCTTTGAAAAACCAGAAGCATTTATAAAAGTATCTTACAATGTGACAATGGAGTACAAACAGACACAATAGAATTAGTTGTCAATGGGTCTGTACTTATTTTTTCCTTTATTGTTATATTTCTTTCCTGTCCCATATATTCCTTTATGTGTTATTTGACATAAAAATTGGCAGTTTTCTAGTCCAAACAATAACCCCTCTTTTAAAGAAAAAAATGGTTGCTACATAAGGGGATTATATTTGAAACAGTAAACATATTCCAAGGAAAAATTGGGTTTACTTTGATGTTAACTATTGTATTTGTCAAACAACTATTGTAGAATCCACTTTGCCTTTTGCGTTGTAGAAACATTCACCCATGCTTGTTTTTGCTTTAAAAAGAGAGACATTAAGTTCATTAGTAAATAAATCATATTTCAGTAACAATATGAACAATGCTGCATTTGTATGGCATTGAAGCTTTTAAAAGATACACTTTGAACTGCTCCTGTTTTTATTATTCTCCAAATAAGACCACCACAGATCAATAGTTATAGAATTACATTGACTGAATATCAAGCTAAAACCAATTAGAATTGATTTAATTCTCTTCTGGAAAAAAAGAAATAAATGATATCATGTGGTGATCCATACAGCCAGAATGCACAGGATTTTTAACTCTTCGTTTTGTCACACGTGGTTTCTGAAACCTGGCAATAAGGACACCTATCAAGTCATGCTACATTTATTTGCAAGCAAATTTAAAAAAACAAAACAAAACAAAAGAGGTAACCAAATGGGGGAAAGGCTCTGAAATAAAGAACTAAGGGGCTTGTGCTCTGACAATGATACACTATCAGCTTACTCAGAGAAGTTACAGTGGGAATACACACATTGAATTATACATTACACAAATGCACTGATTTATTGTGGTAATAACATCCACCTCATTAAAAGATTCTGCTTTGCTGCAGTCG